CCCCCCCCCGTAAAAAAATGAACGGTCCCATAATTTTTCTAAAATGGGTAAAAGGGAATTACTAAAAAGGGGCTTCGCTGTGCTCCCTTGCCTCTCAAACCCGTCCTGAAAGCATGTTTCCTTATTGTCCCACCAGGTTCTTGACATTAGCATGTCTAGTGGTAGTCACAGGTTTAATGTATGTGGTGAATTACATCAGTCCTTATGGCTACCGGCACTCCAAATCAGCCAAAAATGGCGAAGCATTTAACCTATTTAACAGTCTCTGGTTCTGCTTGGCGTCCATGTTACAACAAGGAGCAGATAATACTCCGAGGTCTCTGTCTGGTAAGTTCAAAAATAGCTCTACAGCTAAATAGAGCGTTACAATTGTAAGTTATTTCCGGGTCTAACTGCTCACAAAAACAGCTTAAACCATAACGCCAAAAATGTTCTATGCGAATTAACCTTCACATGAAAGAATCATTGATTTTGGGGGAAATCTTTTCATGGAGAAAGAGAGAAAAAAAAAAAGAGAAAACTCTTTGCAGTATAGACCTCCTCAGCCCTGGCGTAATGTTTTCCCATTTCAGACCATGTGTCATTCCCTAGAGTATCATTTCTTCATTTAACGGTTGCGCATGAGAAGACACATGAATATGGATACAACTCAAACAAAGAAGAGAATGTCAAGGGATTAAAACGTGGTCTGAAATGGGGATGCACTACGTCAGAGCCGAAGAGGTCTATTGTGTTTCGTTTTGGACCGTCAGAGTTACAAGTTGTATAGCACAATGCAGTACTACGTCACCATGACGACTGCGTTACCGTTAGTTTTTATAACCAATAATTTACCTAAGAATTATTGTAAGCTCGACAGCTACAGCTCTTTTTGAAACATTCATCGCATTATTTTAAAGTGTTTTAAACCTGATTTTCAGGTCGTGTTCTTGCTGGCTGTTTCTGGTTCTTCATACTGATATGGATCTCTACCTACACGGCAAACCTAGCTGCATTCTTCACAGTACGTAACGCTAGAAAACCAGTCAGCACACTGGAAGAGGTAGTAGATGGTGACCACCATTTCTATATTATCCGAGACACGGCAATTCACCAGTTTTTCCGGGTGGCGAGCTACCAGACGTACAGAAAACTGTACGAAAGAGTCAATGCTCAGAATACTTTTGTTAACTCAACGAGCGCAGGGTACGGTGTTGCCAGGAAGAAGAAGAACGCCGTTTTTATGGCGGAAAAACCATCGACTGAGTACGTTATTATGCAAGAGCCATGTGACTTAACTGCAGGTTGGTCTACTCCTATCAAACTACATACTTTTCCCTAATTCCCCTATAGAAAACAATGACTCCAAGTCGAGGTTGGACTTCATAAAATACCGCAAATGTATGAACACATCAAACCCATCCTCGGCCATTGTTCCTTGGTCATTCGAGCGAACTCGGTAAAGGTATAAATTAGATTAACATTCAAAATTGTAGGTCCCAGTTAAGTCTGGTTTTCACTTGCGACGGAATCGAAGTCGGAGTCGAAACCAGCTTAGGACGAAGCGAAAACCAGATAACGGAGTCGAATCGGAGTCGGAGATGCGTCGGAAGTAAAATCGGAAAGATCGGAAGGTTTCCTTTTGCTTGGCTTATGCTTACGCTGATGACGAACGGTTTTCATTTGCCGTTTCACGGATGAACCGTGTCCGCAAATTTTTGTGTCCGTATCCGCAAATTTTACGAAAACGGACACTTGTGGACGGTGAAAACGATTCGAATACGCTGCGTGTGGACGCAAACATTTTCGTATCCGCAAAAAATAATTTGCGGATACAAAAATTTCCGGATACGTGTGGACGTGGCCTTAGAGTGCATACCATATATTCCGTGAAATTGCACAAATTTGCACAAGTTAGTATATTTCAAACCATGTATCGGTGAAATAGTATTTTAGTATATTTTAGTACAAAATAGAACCTATGAAACAATTGAAAACGAAAGAAATAGATGTTCTTAGTGCTATTTAGTTTTTGTGCTATTTCACGGATATATGGCTTGCACTCGAAGTTAGTAGACCTCAGTAGACCGTGGACCTACAAAACTTTGCATTAATTGGCACAATTTTGTTAGTTAACTTTTTCACGAATATATGGTATGCACTCCATTAAAAATTAAGTTTTCATTTGTGTATCTTTTTTAGCAAGTGGATTGTTAGGAGCAAGTAGTTACGGCATAGCGATGCCAAAACACTATCCTTATGCTAGGAATATATCAGTGGCTGTTCTGACTCTCCATGAGACTGGCGTACTGGACTCCCTGTGGAGAAAATGGTGGGACTACAGAAGTCAATGTCCGAAGGAACAAAGTAGATCAGGTATAAACTATATTGACTGGTGATTACTGATCGATGATGGAGATGATTAATGATGACAATAATGATGACTGGCACGTGTTAATAATGATGATAAAGATAAAGGTGCTAGTGTTGTTGATGATGATTAATTATGATGATGAGAAGATGGTAGTGATGGTGATGTTGTTGATGATGTTGACGATGTTCATTCATGATAAAGGTGATGATGCAAATGAGACGTGTTGGTAATGATGACAATAAATAATTGTAATGATAATTTTGGTGTTGTTTATGACGATCAATTATAGTGTTCTTTTTATTTTTGGTGATGGCGATAGCAACCTGTTTGTAATGACGACGATGATGGTGATACTGTTGTTGTCAATGCATAATTTAATCTTATAAGCTTGAAAATAGCGTCAGTATGACTTTCGAAACGTCAGTTTCTTTCTCTTGATTTCACTTGCTTACGTATTTTAAAGTCACTATTGGTTTTCAAAGATGAAATAACATATTTAGTTATTTTTAAGCCATAGGCACAGGAAAGCAGATAGAGCTTAGCAGCATGATTGGCGTCTATGTGGTACTGGCCACTGGTGGTATCTCTTCAATAGTTCTCGTGGTCGGTGAGATATACTGGAGTAAACACGGCAGATACTTCAAAGCCTTGTTCAGGAATGAATTTGGTTCATTTGGGTAGGTAAAGTGGCTTTGCTTCATCACGTGATGGCAGCCATGCCAGGAGGCTGGAACATTTGTATCTGGTCGACCTAATCTCGTTTTATATGAAAAGCAATTCAGTTTCCCAGGGAAAAGACTCCATTGTTGTGCCTCCTGTCATGGCTGCCATCGCGTGATGGTGCAAATCCTCTATCTATCGGGTTTTGTTTGTGTCCTAACCTTTATGTTATGACCTGTTTTGTTAGTAGTCGTGGACCTACTAAACAAACTTGAAGATGCAACAGCGCAAACAAATGGAAATATGATTATCTGTTGCATGATAGACCATATTCGTATTTAAAATAACCGCGGTTTTCCTTGATTCAGACTCCATTTCTCAGGGTTAGCCTCATTTCAGTGTCTAAATATCCTCAAACACAAACGGTAAAGCAAAGAATACACAACTCCAAAAATACAATCACTGAGCACTAATCACTAACCCTGAGCAAACGGAACTCCGTTACCACTACCAATATCCTTTTTGAATTTTCTTTCCTATTCAAATTTCCTCATGAGAATAGTAAGATATTTGGTGCTAATTAACTGAACAAAAGAAAGTGTGCAAGGGAGTCTGGTAGTAAATGACGCTATAACGCAAGTGACCTAAAGACCCCTTGCATGTGACGTCAAAGGATCTCAATTTGGAGGACAAAACAAAATAATTTCAATCTCCTGAGAATTGAAAACCTCTTGTTATGTCCTCCAAATTGAGCTGTATTAAGATGTGCTACAAGAGGTCTATTGGTTGGTGTGTGATCGCCCGCGTCCGGCGTTGTTTCAGTGATATGCATTCATACCTATTTGTTATGCAGACATGCGCAGTGAGTGTGTGCCCCCGACTTGACCACATCGTATGTGATGTGAGATACTTAATTGCTGAAGTTAAACTGAATTAAAACAAGTTAAAACCCAATAATATCGCCTCCTAATCTTTAACGACATCCTAAAGGTAACTTTATTAACTTGGGTTTATCTTATATTCTGTTTTACAGTGTTGCAAAAGCCAACACGCATCACGCGGCAACCAATAGTGTACCAGTGTTACGAGTACAGTCTGTAAAGACCACGGACCTTTAGCGACTTTAGCGGTTTTGATTATACAAAAAAACAATAAAGTGACGTTACGTGGATATTGTGTTACCAACAAGTATATCTTGTGATGATTCTAAGTATTGCGTGACGTCTTTGTAATGGAGAAATGAATGCTGATTTGCGTGACACCTGGATAGGTAAGGACTGAAGAAGCTGCAGCAAGTACAAATATCATGGGACTTGGATCTGATGCTGAAGTATGCAGTTGTGCGATGGAAATCACGTAAACCTCGTACGTGTCACGCAGGAAACACAGTGACATTACTCTTGCGTTACTTATTTATAGCTACCAAGATAAACCAAGGGGCTTTATTTATAGACTTAGTGAAGACAAAACCCGTAATTCACGTAAACCTCGTACGTGTAACGCAGGAAACACAGTGACATTCTCTTGCGTTACTAACTACCAAGAACTATATTCAAGTAAAGACAGAACCCTGACTAAACCTTAATGAAGGGGGTCAAAACCAAGTAAAGGTCAACGAGGCTGAGGTGTACGCCATATTGTACTGACTTTCTCGTAACATAATAGGGGGGAGGGGAGGGATTCACACGAGACCTGATAAGTAGTATTGTAGTACGGTACACTGGAGTTTTACTTTGAGGACGAGCGTTCAAATTTGTACATTTTTTGGTATCAACAACATAAAATGATGCAAAGAGTACGCGGTACTTGGAGTAATCCAGTACCGCTCGAAAGCTGGATTTTCATTGCTCCCTAAGTATAGTACCGCTTTTGTAACTTTAGGTTTAGTACTATTGTTTGGATGACCAATCTACTGTTTTTTAATCCAATCATGTAACTTGTTCCGAGCGGTACGGGCTGGCTCGGTCCTTGTCGAATCAGACTACTCGTCTCGACAAATGCGTGACAAAATGCATGAAAAGGCGTGACAAAATGCTTGACTTCCAMAATGTTTTTCATTCGCATAGTTATTTTAAAAAAGGTTAATAAAGGTTTTGTTGCATGTTGCATGCTGTATACCAAGCCTGAAATGCACTATGGGTGACGTGAATGCTATCGAGGTTAAAACAAAATGGAATTTTACAAAAGCTCTGTAAGTTTTTTCGGTTTATCTTCTTCTGTATTGACATTATTTACACATGATTATCATACGTTTCTAGCTTAGTATGCAAAATGCAACGAAATCTTTACCAACCTTTTTTGAAAAAGCTGTATCTGCTGGCTCGTGTAGTACGCCAGTCGATCTTGTCACTCAGTACTCCCTTGAGTACTTTTATAGGGTGCTCGAAGTCCTCTTTGAATAAGACGTTTCATAGTGACGTCATTTGACTCCCACTTCCACGATGCTTCGCGAATTTTCTTTCTTATTTGAAAATTCCCTCATGAGAACAGTCAGACAATTGATGCTAATTAAGTGACCAAATAAGTGTGCAAGGGATTCTGGTAGTAGAGGTCAATACATCCTATTGAAGTAAATTCCCAATGTGAGCATTAAGAACTCTCCATTTTCACGCTTGTGCGCATGCCCAGACCACCAGGTCTTGTACAATGTACAATATCTTGTTGTTCCCGTGGAACTCTTTGTTTTATGTCGGAAAAAAAAACATCCAATAAATTCACATTTGACAAGACAAGACCTTAAAAATCAGAACGATAATACTGAAAGGTATCTTGAAAACATATATAGAGTACATGCCATATATCTGTAAAATACAGAACCCCAATAATATTAAAGGAATAGAGTGCACACCATATATCTGTAAGATACAGAACCCCAATAATATCAAAGGAATACAGTGCACGTCATATATCTGTAAGATACAGAACCCCAATAATATTAAAGGAATACAGTGCACACCATATATCTGTAAGATACAGAACCCCAATAATATTAAAGGAATACAGTGCACACCATATATCTGTAAGATACAGAAC